CCTCTCTCCAACTTGCCAGTGGTTTCTAGGAAGGCGGCCTTAGCCAGACAGGGGTGTTTGACTTGACTGGTGTTCAGCAAACCGGGGAAGAGGTGGCACGAGCCCAGCTGAGTCCTGTCTGACCACGCAACCACCCTGTGTGAGCCTTGGCTGCAGAGACTTCTGTCCCACAGCAGGGCTTGGCAGCCGAGGAAGAGACCCACGCTGCAACCCCAGAGATGAACAGAGGGGCTCTGTGTGGAGCAGACAGCGGCTGCGAGCACATCGCTGGACCAATGCAAGGGGCTGTGCCGCAGATCCCAGGGCCCCAGGCGACCCTGCAAGCACCCCCTTCCCCCGCCCTCAGTCACAGCCAGCTGAACAGTGACTCTGATTCAGAGAGTGAGCTCTGGAGTCAGATCATCCGGGCTGCCCATCAGTCCACCAGCTGTGACCTTGAGCAAGTAACTTAACCTCTCTGGGCCTCAATTTCTCAACTTTAAAATAGGGATACATGCAGTATCTCGCATTTTGCCATGAGGACTGGATGAGTTCATTCCTGTGAAGTATCGGGGACAGTGCTTGCTTATTACTGGGTGCATGCCGCCTGCCACGCACTGTACTAAGGGTATTGCATGAACGATCTCATGTGCAGAAACCACGCAAGGTCAGTGTTATCGTCTGACCTAGGCTGGGCCCCCTGAGACAGATCTTGAGACAAGGATTTAATGACAGCAGTGTCATTAATGATGGCACTGTATTTGTGAGCTAACCCCAAGAAACATGGTGAGACAGGGAAGGCCAGCAGTGACCACTGTGGATGACTGGGCCTCAGTCCCTTTGGGGACCTCTGGGAGGCGTGTAGAGCGTGCGTCTAGGGCGCTTACACAGCGACTCCCATCGGTCGTGGCTGCGGGCTGCTCCCCGTGCAGCATGAACAACCTTCCCTGTTTGCCCACGACTGCCCCAGTCTCAGCCCTGAAAGTTTCCCTGTGATCTGGGAAACCCTCCTTCCCAACCTGGGCGGCTGGTCACCCCACCTGGTGGGTGTTAATTCCCCTGCACTTCCAGCATGTCACACGCAGGGCAGAGCAGGCTTCACGGCCAGCAGCAAGCCTGCGGGTGCCAGCAGTTAGGAGCTACCGAGCACTAAAATGTCAGGACCCGGGAGATGAGGCTGGGACACCCGGTCCCATGTTAGAGGTCAGAAAAGTGAAGCTGGGAGAGGCCAAGTAACCCACTGAGCATCATGTAGTGGGGAGTGGCCTGGGGGTGGGGGGTTCGAATCCAGGTCTGTCTGAAGCCAAAGCCCACGCTCTGGACCACCAGGCGCCACGGCTCCTTCCACAAGGCAGCCACAGGACGCAGACGGGAGGAGCAGGCAGGACTGCAGGAGATCCGCTAGTCCCGGGACCGGAAACAAACATATCTGCAGGCAGACAGGGTGACAGTCAGGGGGTGGGGAAGAGTCGGTGGGTGTCGGACAACAAGGAGGCAGGGCCTGTGGCTGAAAGGTGAGTACAGCAGCCTCTGAGGGGCAGCGGCCATGCAGAGCAGCTTGATGACTGTGTATGCAGATGAGGCTCAGTGTTACCAAACCATCCGATTTTTCAAAGTTGGGTTTTTATGGGAAATCTCCAAAGTATTATACGTCGTCTAAGAATTTTCTAAAATACATTGGGAACCAACCCTATGTGGACCAAACACAGTGTATCAGCTCCTGGCGGCCTGGTGGTGGCCCTGAATCTTCTCCTGTGGCCTGTCCCCTCACCTGCGCAGGTGAGCCTAAGGGCTAATGTTGACTTCTCCTTCAGTGAGGGTCCCTACAGGAACGGGGGCTGGCTCCACGTGCACTTAGTGCACGCATCCACCCCTGCTGAGCTCTCCTCATTTCTTGTCTTTGTTTCTTTCTGGCCACGTTTCCACACGTGGGTATCCACGGCTGACGTGCAGCTCACACGCACCGGAACTGCCACACTGTTCTCAGCCTAGTCAATGAATAGCCAATGCCTGCAGACCCCCAGTCAGGCCCTGTGTCCTGACAGCCCAGCCCTTCCGTAGGACCCCACGCTTCCCCTCCACCCGGCAACTGCAGGGTTAACTCCTGGCGCTGGGACCTCAGCCAGCAGACAGCTCCCGTGCACACTCCCTTTCCCTCTCTCCCTCTGCCATTCTCTTTCCCTCTCTCGCTTTCTTTTTTAAATTACACAACCATCTTCAATCCTTGTTGATTCAAAGACACAAAGTTATAAATAGCGGTGTGCTAGTAAACGTCCAATAATCGGCTTTCTGGGGGTAGAGGGGAGACCTGATTTGTATCATTTGCTGATTTCTGTGGTGTAAATATTCACACCCTGACCAATTTTAAGCTACCAACATGACTGAATGTGGAGTTGGCAAGAGGTGTTCAGGAGCACAGCCTTATACAGTATTCACTGCGTAGATACAACGTACGTAAATAACTGCAAGAGCACAGATGATAGTAAAACATAGTAAAACAGACCGGTGCAGCAGCTCAGACCTGTAATCCCAGCACTCAGGGAGGCTGAGGCGGGAGGATCACTTAAGCTTAGGAGACCAGCCTGAGCAAGAGTGAGACCCCATCTCTACTACGTGGTGGCACGTGCCTATAGTCCCAGCTATTCAGGAGGCCCAGGCAGGAGGATCGCCTGAGCCCAGAAGTTGGAGGCTGCAGTGAGCTATGATAGCAGCACTGCACTCCCGATTGGGGACAGAGCCTGCTCTGTCTCAATCAGTCAATAAGGAAATAAGTAAAAATGTAGTAAAATTATTAGGAAGTAATGGGTTCTGAGTATTTATTACCTCTGTTTCTAATATAATTCATTGGTTAGCTTATATAATTTAACTTTTAGTAATGCCCATGTTTCACAACCAGGTCACAAAATTCCTGAAAATTTTAGCAATCAGCTCCTGTGAGCTGTCGTGGGCTGGCTCTAGCACACCACTGGATAAATAAACAGAGGCAGAAAAATTACAAAAACATGTGCTTGGTGGTCAACAGACCTGGACTTGGGGGACAGTCACCATCCAACCTCTGACGGGCAATTCAGGCCTCTCCACTTCACTACCCAAACCCACCTACCTGCAGCAGGAAGTCAAAGAGCGCCAAGCGTGCCCACTCGGTGTGGTGGATGCCCAGGCACGGGGCTTGGCTGGGCTGGTGGCAGCCGTGTGCCAGCAGGGCCTGGTACTGCAGCCAGCCCAAGGCCAGAGAGTTCTGATCCTCATCGGGGTCACCCAGGTGCTGCACATCAGGTGCCCACCAGATGACAGGCCTCACGCCACCATCCGTGTAGCGGTAGGGCAGCAGGGAGCTGTGGAAGCGCCGGGCCACAGCAGGCAGGCTCCGGCGCAGCCCCAGCACGCGGTCCACGTGAAAGGACAGGACCTCGGGCAGGTCCCCAGGCCTCTTGATCAGGCCACAGAGGCCCTGGGAGCAAAGGCGGCTGAGCCTGGGAGGAGTCAGGTCCTGATGGGCACCCTCGGCGGAGAAGCCGACCTGCAGCACCTGCCCGTGGGCGGGGACCCTGGCTTTGCCCACCACCTTCCCCTGGGCCAACAGCCGGAGGGTCTGCACGTCGAGGTCCGTGAGCCATGGGGGAACCTGCCTGCCAGTCCTCGAGCTGGTCAACAGTCCAGGGGTCTCAGCGTCACACCATACAGACCCTTGCAGCTCCCCCACAGAGCCAGGCCACTGACGAGTCCCTGAGGCCAGGGTGGGGTCCTCCGCTTGTCGCCCACCAGTCAACGCTCTGTCCTCGCCTCCCGGCAGGCCCCTGCCTTCTGCCGGATAGGGTCCAAGGGGCAGCCCAGCAGCAGCTCTCGAGACCACTAAGGCTGCCACGTCACTCCCTGCAAGAGGGCCGACCAGGGTGCCCACGGTGCTCTGCGTCTCCTGGATGGGACCACCATGCCAGGGGCGGCCCAGGTCTTTGCCTCCTGGATCTCTGACCTCTTTCTCCCTCAGGAGCACAAGATGCTGGGTACTGAGTCTCGGATCTCCTGCCAAAGCAATGTCCCTCCTGACCCTCCCTGGAGGCCCACTCTCCCCTCTTGGGGACCACCTGCTTCTGTCCACTCGCGCTCTGTGGCCTTGCTCCTCAGCACAGACAGAGATGGAATTCCTGGGTGAAGCCCGGCCTCTCCAGAATCCCAGGTTTCTTGCCCACTGCCTCCGGCTCGAGCTCAAAGCCTGCCGGACATGGGGGTCAGGAGCACCAGTCACCTCCCGAAGCTCCAGGGGATCAGGGGATGTGCTGCCAGCTGGATGCTGTGGGGGGAAGCGGGTGACAGCCACCGCAGACAGGGTCATCAGGAGGCAGAACGCCATCAGTGGCCGCCTCTTGCCACGCAGCCTTCTCCAGAGCCAAGACGCCTGGGGGACAGGGTGGAAAAAGAAAGCTTGAGACCCGGGAAAGACGTCAGCCCCAACCCACGAAACAGGGACAGTGAGCAAAGGAGCGTCCCGGGTGCAGGAGACAGTGAGAGGGGCACAGCCCAGGTGCAGTGACCGCTGCTGCCTTCAAGAGAGCAACGGGCAACCACGGCCACCCGCCTTCCTGCCTCACAGCTCACGCCTCCTGGGCTGTCACCTGCAGACAGAACTGGGCTTCTCCCCACTCTCCCTTCGACTGAACTGCCATTATGACACTGTCGCCATGCACCACGGGACTCTTTCCACATCTGTCCCCCACCACCATGTGCCGGCGCCTCTCCTTCCATCTCCCTCGATTCTGGGGGCCCACTATGGCAGACCTCTAGCCGTCCCCCACAAACATGCCCTTCCCCTTTTCCAGGGCACATGGCCGCCCAGTTAAGGATGGCTTTGCCCAGCCTCCCTTGCAGCCGAGTGTGACCATGTGACCAAGTCTCTGACTAGCACGAGTGTCCCCCACTTTTGCCTGCCCCGTACGCTTAAGGGGAAGTTGGCTGCCCTGGCAACCGTAACTTCCCTGCAGGTTGGCGCACACATGTGGCAGCATCAGCTCTGCACACGTTAGCAAGGACATGCCCTAGGGGCAGTGATTTATCAGCATATGGTCCCTGGTCCAGCAGCATCAGTATCACCTGGGGACTGTCAGAAATGCAAATCCTCGGGCCCCCACCCCAGAACTACTGAATCAGAAACAGGGGCTGGCAGCCTGTGTTGTCACAAGCTCTCCAGGTGGTTCTGACGTGGGCTCACGCTGGAGAGCCGCTGCTCTAGGGCACCGTGGAGCCAGGAGAAGGAAGGAGAGTGGGTGCCTGTGTGGCCAGGTGGGAGCAGAGCTGCCAGGAGCAGATTAAGCTTCTGTGGTTTAGAGTCTCTGTCCGTGGGGGCCTTTACTCTAATGATAGACCCACCAGAACAGCGCTGATATGAAATGAGAATCAACGAATGGAAAATGCACCACAAAACTCTCCCCAGACTAAGTTTAGTCCTCACTTGCAAAATATTTCTCAGAGATTTTTAGTACTCTGTGCAGCAGGAGGCAAGTTGCTCGAATATGTAGAAAAAGCACACAGGAGAACGGGATTGTAAAAGGTATCAAGGAAACAAGGCCAGCAGGACAATCAGATTCCCTTCTCACAGGTGCTTGCTATTTTGAAAAGGGCCCTTGTAGGTGACAAAAGGGGACTGTGCAGGATCAGTTCTGCAGTGGACATCTGTGGGTGAGGAGTAGCCCTCTGGCTTCTCTCAAAAGTGCCACCTCTCACCCCTGCAACCCTTCCCAGCAGCTGCAGTTGTGCAGACACCCTGACCCCTGGCCCACGCGGGGCCAGTACATCCTCTCCACCCACCCCAGCCCTGGGGACATGGGCTGTGATAAGTCAGCCAAGGTGACCTCTTCTGCTCATGAGCTCGAGAGCAGGAGCCCACAGCCACTCAGCTAAAGACTGTGGCATGGGTCACATGCTGATGAGAGCCGTTCTGCAGGGAGAGAGGAGACAGTTGCACAGGTGAACCAGAGATGGAACAGGGAGGAGTGCCTTGCCTGGCTTCCTGAAGCTGCCAGTCTCAGCCCTGAGCCTGGCCCAGGGGCAGCTGCAGCCACTGCCTGGGGCTCCACGGGACTCTGCAGCATCCACGTAAACCCGTGCTCCATCTACACGTGAGCTGTGGATCGCGGGTGCCCCTGCTGCATGCAGCCAGAGGCCTAATTAAGATCATCCCTGAGCTCCTTTCCCTGTGCAACTAACAGAGCCTCCTCTCCCTCCTCAGTCCCTGTTAGGCAGCCCTTCCTTGCAACCACTGGCCTGGAGGAATGGCCCCTCATTTCCTCATCTGTCTGCCGTCCCTTATGAGCCAGTGGCAGTTTCTGCAGGAACCAACACGTGTCCCTTCTCAGCACATCGGATATCAGAGGATAATCAAAGGGCAGTGGGAAGACTCAGTTACAGCGCTGCCTAGAAGGATCCCGTGGCCCCTCCCACCTGCAGGTCCTCCACGCTGATTCTTCCCTTTCGCAGCCCCTCTTGTCTTCTGGAAAGTCCCTCTTAGCACTTCCGTGCCTGGTGCACTAACGGCTCTTGGCCCCTCTGTATCCAGCACCTCAGCCACTGGGAGCCAGTGTGTGGTGGTGGAAAGAGCACTGGACAAGGAGTCAGCAGGCTGCAGTCTGTGTCAGCTGTGTGACCTCATTTTCAGACTAGCTTCCTCATCTACAAAGGGTGGGTTGGATAAAATGGACGTTAAAGCCTTGCTTCCCCCGATTTCCAGGGATTCTGGGTCTCGGTGGGCAGTTGGATGAGGGCTCCCCTGAACCCCCTCCTGCCCCGCCCACTCAAGATGAGCATCTACAGCGGGGCAGAGCTGCACGAGAGGAACACCACCACCCCATACGTCAGTCTGGGCCCTCAAGGGTGGCTCTTGGAGAAGAGGGTTGAAATGAGTGAGGTTTTCTGCCACTGCCCAGTCACCAGCAGGAGACCCAATCATATACCTTGGCCTGAGCAGTGAGACCATGGAAACCCAAAGGTTCCCTTGCAGCTCTGGGCTGACCCCCCAAGACCCAGCCTGACGTGTCAACACCAGGGTGATGTGGGAAGGCCAGTAGTACCTTCCATCTACCTGGTTCTAAGACCTGAAGCTATCTTAGAAGGACCACCTAAGCTCCCACCCCTGCACCTGGGGGGAGGAGGTGATGGGGAAAATCGCCTCTGGTCTCTGGGACCCACATGCTGACCTGTTCCCCCCTCACCTGACACCCAAGGCACTTTGCTGAAGTGGGGTGCATCTATGTCCCAGGGTACACAGCCCCCAGCCCGGACACCCTGCTTGGGGGAGCTGGGGACCAGCAAGCCGAATATGCAGTGGGTAGAGCCGGTGGGGGCAGGTTCTGATTTCCCCGACTCCAGCCAGGGCTTCCAGGGAGACAAAGCCTGGAGAATATTGTCCTTGTTAGTCGTGTGGTCTCCTAGACAACCTGTGCTCCCCACGCCTCGATTTCATCTAGAATCTTTCTCCCGCTTACTGGGGATGGGCTGGGAAAATGGTTTTCAAACCTGCTTGGGGTCTTCCTTCATGGTCCACTATGGGGCGGGGATTTAGCAGAGGACTTTGTGTGCTCCACACCCTCTACACAGAAAGCACACACACACACACACACACACACACATACACAAACACACACACACACACACACTTCTACCAAAATAGCCCCATGTTCTTTCACTAGATGAGTTTAGCCCATTTACATTACTTGATACAGCTCCATACACGTTTAGTCTTAGTTCTTTCATAATATTTAATGGTATGTTTTCTGTATTTATAATTTTTGAAGTTTTTCACTATATTTTCTTTTCACTTACATTTACTTTGTTATATACGGTGTATATCTTTTGTAGTATTTAGGAAATTTTGATTTTGGTCCTAATGATTACCTTCATGATTGTGTGCCCTTGGTGGTCTGGTTCTTTAGCTCAGAAAGCAGATTTCCAAAGGCCTCACTCAGATGCAAAAATTCTGAGACAGAGTCTTGCTCTGTTGCCCAGAATAGAGTGCAGGAGCATCAGCCTAGCTCACAGCAACCTCAAACTCCTGGGCTCAAGTGATCCTCCTGCTTCAGCCTCCTGAACAGCTGGGACTACAGGCGTGCACCACCACACCCGGCTAACTTCATATTTTTAGTTGCCTGGCTAATTTCTATTTTTTTAGTAGAGACAGGGTCTCACTCTTGCTGAGGCTGGTCTCAAGCTCCTGACCTCAAGCGATCTTCCCACCTTGGCCTCCCAGAGTGCTAGGATTACAGGCATGAGCCACCAGGCCTGGCCTGTCTCTTTTTTTCTTGTCATGTCTCTGTCTGGGTGCTGAATTCCTTTCACTGTGTGAGTCGGACCAGTCCACTGAAAGATGCTCCTACAGAACCCGGGTAGCATTTGGCATCAGCTGGTTTTCATAGTGTAGACGCTCTCTTCTCATCTACCGCATAGCCAGACTGTGTCCTGCAAATACAGCTCGGCAGCAGGGTTCTTTATGTATCAGTCTCCTGACAGTCCTGCTGGGGCCACTGGGCTGCCAACTCACCCCCATCTCCACACCCTCTTTTGCAGACAAGCAGAGGTGGAGATTCTGCGCCTCAGGTGTGTCGCTTTCCATCAGGTGTATTTCCTGGTGCTTTCTGGGCTCTGGCACACTGGGCTCTCTCCTCTGCTCTCACTTTTTCCAACACTGCTCCTGCAGGAAACTGGCTGCTGTTTACACTGCTCCCAAGTGTGTTGCTGTCTGCCTTCTGAGTTTGCTGAAAAGAAATTTGTCTTTTGTTGTCCATTCTCTTTGTGGCTTTCAGCCGGTTTCCAGGACGAGGCAAGAATGCAGGGTTTGTGCTGCCACATTCGTGCCAGCAGCCCTCAGTGGCGCACCTTTCAGAAGAAAGCCCTTGGAGAGTGCAGTGACTAGAGCAGCCCTCGGAGCAACAGCTTTTTCCAGTGTCTGCGCTCAGGAGCCACAGCACCCAGACAGCCCTGAGGATGCCGAGACTTTGGCCCCCCACACGTCTCCACAGGTCTGTTCGCCGGCTTTGCGTGACTCTGGTGCAGCCTGCAGGTGCGCTGAGCGCTCAGCAGCACCCTTCCGGGGAGACCACCCTGAGGCCCTTTGAAGGGTGTCCTGGAGCAGGAAGTGCAGTGGGCCACCTCCCGCAGTTCCATTTCCAGGAGTCAGGAGAGGTGCAGGGCCCACTAGGTCACCTAGAAGTTCTCCACTTTATATTTACTCACCAGCCCACCCCCTCCCCCAAATATGTCCCTCCTTCTTGTCCAATCTGGCTAAAAGGGGGCGCTGTCCAAGCCAGAAATCTAGGCCTGACCTTCATTCCACTTTTCCTCTGCCCCATATATCCAAATCTTGCAGATTTTTCCTCCAAAACATCTCTTGGGCCCCTCTGTGACTCCCTGAGCCCAGACGCCCCCTCCTTCACCTGCACGGGCCCCTACCTGTCTGCTCGCCCCTGTTCCTGCTCCTCGCACGCACTGCGTCACACCCTCCTTAGACATGGCCTAAGTGCATAACTGCTACACTGAGCCTCTTCCAGTTCTGGACAGGGGGAGACCCTCTCTGTCCCCAGACCTTTACCCATGCTGCTCCCTCTGCCTGGAATATTCCCTGCCTCCCAGTTCTCACACTCAGGTCTCAGCTTAGCCATCACCTCCCTGGGACCGTCAGTGGGTTGGATGCCCTCACTGTGTGCTCCCACACACACTGTTCCTCCCTGAGCACGGCCTTGTCACTCTGTGCTGTATTCAGTCAGTGACTGTCTTTCCCCCTCCCTGTGGACAGTTGTTCCGTGCAGGCAGGACAGTGGCTCACTTGCCATTGCATTCAGGACTGTCACATGGGAAGCTCTCTAGAAAACGAGCCCTCAGACAACAGGGGTTATCAGGGAGGTGCAAACACTGTTCCCGGCCTACGGCATGGCACGGCTGCTGGTGAGGTGGGCTCCTCCCATCTCTGAGGTGCTTCCCTGTTTGGGGCTCCAGGCCCCACTGTTTTGAAATGCACCCAGGATTTGCTTTAAGCAGGTATGGTAAGACACATAGACATAAAAATGATTGCCATGGAAGAAGTTTTGATCATAATTACAGGCCCCTAGAAACAGGAGGCACGGCATGCCACACTGGGCCACACAGCCAAGCTGAGCTGAGCAGCCAGAGAGAGCGGACATATGGGCTGGAGCCCAGACTCTGGGCTTCACGGTGAGGATGGGCAAGGAAAGGCAGGCACCCAGCAGGCTTAGGATTGGCTAGTTTGAATGATTTCAGGGGGCTCTGGGCTACAGGTGTGATAGGGCAGGGGACAGACTGCAGGAGCCCGATGAAAGGAGGCGGGTGAGGGTCTGGACTCAGGGTGGTTGCACCCACAGGCATGCTCACAGGCGCTTCCTATCACGAGGAATCAGCGAATCCTGGGAGGGGCAGTCCCTGCCTGAGTCCACAAGGCCCCAGATGCCAGAGCATGAAGAATACAGAAAATAGCAAATCATAGTAAATACACTCACGTTATAGCCCCGCAGCCCCTGACTAATTCCAGCTGCCCCCATAGTGGACAATCCCCCTGCACACAACACCAGTTCCCACCTCGAGGGCCTGAGTCACTCTCTGCTTTCCTGTCTGCTCTGCCAGCAGGCACCGGAGAGATTGAAACCTCTGGTGACAACCGTCAACCAAGAGGGACCACACTGCAGTGGAGAAGCGCCAGCCTCTGTCTGTCCTTCCGAGGGACAGCTGAGAGGCTCTCTGCACGGTGCAGCTGAGGGTGCTCAGTGGGACTGAGCCTCTTTTCTGTAAGACCAATGATGCCTTGTCGCCCTATGCCTTTACCTGATGATCCTTTTGAATTGAGATCCTAGATTTTTGTCCTGATTATATATGATTCTTATTTGGTCTTTATTACTATTAATATTTTGAAAAACACACACAAGTAATACATGCATA